AATTCCCACCCCAAACCCCCAGATTTTCACCCAAATTCCCCCAAATTTCCACCCCAAACCCCCAAATTTTCACCCAAATTTCCCCAAATTTCCACTCCAAACCCCCAAATTTCCCCAAATTTCCACCCCAAACCCCCAGATTTTCACCGAAATTTCCCCAAATTTCCACCCCTAACCCCGAAATTTTCACCGAAATTCCCCCAAATTTCCACCCCAAACCCCCAAATTTCCACCCCAAACCTCCAAATTTTCACCAAAATTTCCCCAAATTCCCACCCCAAACCCCCAAATTTCCCCAAATTCCCACCCCAAACCCCCAGATTTTCACCCAAATTCTCCCAAATTTCCCCGAATTTCCCCACTTTCCCAGCCTGCACCCCGGGCTGCCGCTGCTGGCCACGGCCTCGGGCCAGCGCCTGTTCGCGGCGCCATGGGACAGCGACGGGGACAGCGAGGGGACACAGGAGGGGCCGGCCCCGGGGGGGGACATCCGGCTGCAGCTCTGGTGGTGGGGACCCGAGGACAGCGGGGACGGCGGCTGGGACACCCCCGGGGACACCGGGGACGTCGGGGACACCCCCGGGGACATCGGGGACATCGGGGACACCCCCGGGGACACCCTCGGGGACATCGGGGACACCCCTGGGGACGTCGGGGACACCCCTGAGGACACCGGGGACATCACGGACATCGGCTGGGACACCCCTGGGGACAGCAGGACTGGCCATTGTCACCATCCTGGGGACACCAAGTGTCACCTCCCTGGGGACACCGAGACTGGCAGTTGTCACATCCCTGGGGACACCGAGTGTCACCTCCCTGGGGACACCAGGATTGGAGATTGTCACCTCCTCGGAGACACCGAGTGTCACTTCTCTGGGGACGTCGGGACCACTGAGTGTCACCTCCCTGGGGACACTGTGAACCACTGAGTGTCACCCCCCTGCGGACACCTGGACCAGCCATTGTCACCTCCCTGGGGACAATGAGTGTCACCCCCCTGGGGACACCGGGGCTGGCGATTGTCACCTCCCTGGGGGACACTGTGACCACTGAGTGTCACCTCCCTGAGGACACTGGGACTGGAGATTGTCACCCCCTTGGGGACGCCGACTGTCACCCATCCCAGGGACGGTGACTGTCACCCTTGGGGACCACAACTGTCACCCTGGGGACCCCAAATGTCACCCAGTGTCACCCTGGGGACAGCAGCACTGACCCCTCGGGGTCACAGCCCCTCTGGGGACCCCAAATGTCACCCCCAGGCCTCGGTTGTACTAAAGGTGTTGTGACTGTCACCCTCTGTGACCCCTGTGGGCTGTCACGGGGGGGTGTGGCCAGATCTGCCCCACCCCTGCCCCCCAAAACCCCCCCAGGAACCCCAAAATCTGCCCCACCCCCTCGGTGGGCCCCACCCTGCAATTCCGGTGTTGCTCCTTTAAGAGCCCCCCCCCAAAAAAAAGGGGTGGGGCCTGTTCCTAAGCAGCTTCACCGTCACCATGGCAACGTTGGGGTTGTGTTGTCGCCATGGGAATAATGTAGCACTGCTGGCCACGCCCCCACCGCAGGCCACGCCCTTCAGTGTGGCCACACCCACAGCGTGGCCAGCTCTGTGGGTGTGGCCAAGTTGCCTTTTGGGCACGCCCCTTCCTAATGACCACGCCCCCATTTTATGCCTGCCCATGCTAATTGCCGATAAGACACGCCCCCCAAAGCCACACCCACTCCAGGCCACGCCTCATTTTCAAGCCACACCCACATTTCCACGCCCCACCTCCCTTGCCTCTCACAAACCACGCCCCGCGACCACACCCATCAGACCACGCCCCTTCATTAACTCCACGCCCACCCACGAGGCCCCTCCCCTGCTCCAAACCCCGCCTTTTACTCCAGGCCACGCCCCCTTGGGCCACGCCCCTCCGAGGCCCCGCCCTGCAGCCGGCGCGGTCGCAGCCGGGGCGGCCCCGCGGGGACCCGGGTTCGAGTCCGGGCCGGGCCGGGGGTCGGGGCCGGGGGAGGGGGGGGAGGGGCGGGAGCCCAAAGTGGGGGAGACACCCCCAAAAATGTACGGACACGCCCACCCTGAAGCTCCGCCCCCTCGGGGCAAAGAGGAATGAAGGACCCAAAAAGGGAAGAATCTGCCCCAAAATGAACCCCCAGGTGGGGGGGTGGGGCTTAAGCGAGAGGCGTGGCCTGGATGGGGCGGGGTCACTAAAGGGGTGTGGCCTAATCAGCGTATGGTGCCGCCTGGGGGCGTGACCAACCAAATATGGGCGTGGTTTCACCTGGGGAGGCGGAGCTTGACCGGCTTTGAGGCGTCACCCCCAGGAAATGGGCGGGGCTTGATGATGCCGCCCTCCCATTGGCCACGATAAAGCCCCGCCCACATGAAGGGGTGCAATCTCTTAGGCCACACCTCCACAGCAAAGGGGGCGGGGCTTTCCCAACACAGCAACATGGCCGCCACCAGCGGGTGACCCGGAAGTGACGTCACAGCGATGAAGAGGCGCAACTTCCTGTGTGACATCACGTGGGGGGCGTGGCCTGACCGTGTGCCCGCAGCTGATTAGACAGTTTTGTGCAATTGGCTCCGCCCCTTCCTGTCATTCAAATGCGGTGGGCGGGGCTTGGGGAGGTTTTTGGCGCCCCCTGGCGGTGCGGGAACAGGCGGGGAGGGGGAGGGGCTGGAGGGG